ACATCATTAAGGTCGACTCTGCTTTGAGGAGGCAGCTCTTCCTCAGCGGTATTTTGAGTGCCTTCCAACCTGAGGGACTCATTTTCCAATACTATGTCAGTCAATGTTTCGCTGCTATTCATAAGGTTTTAACTGGCCAAGTTTTCAGAAGTAGAGTGCCAGGTACTTCTTCCTAGTCTGTCTTAGTCTGAAAGCTCTGCTGAAGTCTGTCGACCATGGGTGACCCTATTGGTATTTGAAATACCAGTGGGAAAGCTTCCAGTGTCACAGCAACAAGCAAGCCACCACAGTACGACAAACTGACAGATGCGTGGGTAGTTATATAAGGGTACACCTTAAATTAACAGCCAAGGATGACACCTGTGACTCCTTCCTTATTTTCCAAACTTGCTTTATATATTTTTATATATCTCTATATATCTTTGTTATTTTCCCAGAGTCTTAAGGTTTTAATATTATTTAGTATTATTTTTCAAAGTTCTTTCCTTTTTTATTACTTCAAATACCAATGTGAAATAGTTGTGCATGATAGTATCATTTTTTTTTATGTAGGAAAGCTTGGAATTACATTTAAATTAAAAAGGGTCACATTATATCAAAGGCTTCAGCAGATAAATTTGAGTATTTCAGATAAAATTCCTGTCTTCAGATAAAAGTCCAACCCTTAAACCTCTGCTACCACAATGTATAGTTATTACATTATTAACACAGAAATTGTAAAAGAGTTACATCAAAGTTCATCTATTTTTCAAAATTCTATATTTCTTTTCTCTGTGTTTAGATTTTCCTCTACCTCAGTATAAGAGATCTGATAGCTTGTAGCCAAGTTAGTCGCTCCTGGATGTTGATGACACAAGCAAGCTCATTGTGGAATGCTGTAAGTAGATGCCATTTGAAGCAATTCTCTTATCTTAATTATTAAAGGAGAATGAACTGCTTGAGACAAATGTAGTAGGATTATCTTCTTCCCTGTTCGCTTCTATGTGGCCACCAACTACAGGTTCTTTGTTTTTCTTTTGTCCAGGCATAAGCCTGAAGGAAGAGATAAAAAAGGTAATAATGTTATCCTAAGAAATACATCACTAGTGTTTTCTAATTTTAATGGTAGAAATAAATTTAATATTATCTTTTCGATTGAAATATAAAACCTCATCATATCGAGTGATTTGTACCTCATCCTGGGTTCATTATTAATATGTCTTCTTCCTTTTTATGAGCACAGACTATATATTTCGTCCTTGACTATGGGAAAGACAGTTTAGAGTGTGTAATTTGTAATGGCCTTTTCATAGCTCATAATTCAGAAGGGATAGTTCCAGAGAAAAGGAAGGTTGTGACCTCAGTGTACCTGGATGATGAGGAAGGTATGAATAGCAAAAATGAAGAGCACAGAGATTTTTGTGTGCTCTGAGTGACCAGGGCTGGTTGATACACCGTAACATTGAATATGATGGTATTGGTGACATTTTCTGCTGAAAGTTTAAGTTTATAAACATCCAATTTCTCATTTTCTTCTGAACAAAGCTATTCTTGGTGCTAAAAGTGTTCATTCATAATTGTGCCACATTTGGACATTCACAAATAAAGGCAGAGTAATTGAAGATGAGGGGCAACATAACATGCACATAAGGGGTCTTTCTATTCTGGCTTTGTTATTCACTGCCATGTACTCATATTTGCTGTCTTTACCCAGTGAGGTTCTGGGTAGAAAAGTTGGCTTTTTCTGACTCTGGCTAGGCTTCTGAAGGATCTGTCCTGATGTTAATATTGTACATATTCTTTCTCTTCCAGACCATTCGGATTCATTTTTTTCTTCTTTACAGGTTTTTGAAGGCAAAAGTAACACTTCCAAATATGTCACATAAGTAAGAGATTTATTACTTTAAACTGGTGATTCTCAAAGTGTGGTCCAGGGACCAGCAATAGTAGCATCACCCAGTAACTTGGAAATGCAAATTCTTGGGCCCCATTCCAGATCTGAGGGATCAGAAACTCTGGGGGTAGCATCCAGCAATCTGTGTCTTAACAATCCCTCCAGATGATTCTGATGCATGCTAGTTTAGAAACACTGTCTTAAACTAAAAATGAACTTAAGACAGGAATACCTAATTTGTGAGCTCAGATGGGTGAGCTAAGATGGAAGTCTCGGCTGACTCCCAGGGTCTTTCCAAAGAACATTCTCTTCTTGCCATTGATGCACAGGGTGAGAGTAGAACAATGCAGCCAAGGGTGGGATGGTGCCAGATGGGTGTAAAGATGATGAGTTGATTATGGAGCTAGAGCCCTGATTTTGTCAACCGCTCTTAGTTTCTTTTGTGGATATTTTAGAATTTCTGATGAATGGCCCCAGGCCACCTATTCATTGGTCAGTCTAAGCACATGATGTCATTAGTTCTCCAATTATTAGCAAGTAACGATAGGTGGTGAAGTCAGCTGTTGACTGGACTTTAGACAGCAGGGAAAATGTTGTCATTGCAACATTGATTGATGTCATTTTTATTCAGATTAAAATATCATCCAGGAAACAGAAAAGCTACAAGGGGACAAAATATATGCTTGTTTTCTGTTGTTGGCTGAGGCCTCTCTCCAATGTCTCTTTGGAATGAGAAGCACAGACATGTTCCAGGTTACAGGAATAGTACACTGGTACTAGGGAAAGAATACTACAGAGGTGCCTGGCTAGGAATTAATAACAGGAAATATGTGTGTGTGTGTGTGCATGTCTGTGTGCATGCACATGCACTAAGACTGTCAAACTGGTTTTTGTACTACCACGTGTTGTATATTTTAGCCCTGTTTCATGCTCACTTTTTTCAGTTGACTTTTATTTCTTCACTCCGTGTTCTGTGTTGCTTCATTATGTTTTTTGAACTAATACAAGTAGCTAATATTTATTGAGTGCTGTCTATATACCTGGCACTGTGCTAAGCACTTTACTTGCATTTCTCAATTTATCCCTGCAGCAGTGAGTTAGGCACTATTATTTTCCTATTTTATAGATGAAAGAACTAAGACTTAGTTAAGTAATTGCCCAAACTAAGTGGCTAGGATGGAATTCAAAATCTGATCTTGCTGATTACAAGTATGTGCTCTTAATTACTAAATATTTCTATATTTAGTATAATATACTATATACATTTGTCATTTGCTTTTCTGACAGCATAGAATGTCTGCTCTCCAGGTTCCATTAAAATAATATAACCTTGAGCTCTGAGATTTAGCATAAAAAGCTTGGCAGTGAAGAATGATTTTCATGAAGGATTTGAGTTCATTAAGTTCTCTTGATATTGTGAACTTTGCCCCAGAATTGAATCAGTCAACTAGAGAGTGTCACACTTGAATCTTATCAGTTTAGGTTTCTTTTACTAGTTGTGTTTTCTGCCCTGAACTCAGCTTCTGTTTGGTGTTCTGTGGTATGGAAGTCTCCCAATTTATTTAATCAGTTTCCTACTGAAGGACATTTAGGTTGAATCTAATCTTTTGCTATTATAATGCTGTAGTGAATATATTGTTTTTCAGTTTTTTGTACACATGTATAATTATATCTGCAGGATAAATTCCTAGAAGTAGAATTGTTAGATTAAAGGTTAGATTGATTTATAATCACAAAAATGTATGAAGTTATGTATTTTTTTGCTCCAAATTCTTCCCACCTCTTTCGAATCAAACTTTTTGATATCTAATATCTCATTGTTACTTTAATTTGTATATCTCAACTCACAAGAGAGACTGGACATTATCTCATATGTTAATAAACCATTTTACATTTACCTTTTTTATTCCTAATGTACTGTATTTTTATTAGCCACTCCAATCAGGAATATATATATATATATTCTTTGCTTTATTTATGGAATTTGCATACTCTACTAAATAGAGCACTCTTAAACTAACATTTCAATCTCTTTTCTATTTGGAAATGATGAGATTTTAGTACTTTAAAATATTTTAAATTTGTACCTGAAACTGATCTTTTTCGTTTCTTAATGTTTTTTGTTTATCCTTTCTAGATTGATTTTTCCACAATGAAAAGTATGGCTATCGATAAATATGTAGTGTCTACTTTGCAAAGGTGGCGTCTAAATGTGCTGCGTTTGAATTTTCGTGGTTGTCTTCTCAAACCGAAAACTTTGAAATCTGTCGGTAAATATATTCCATTACAACTGTTTATCTCGCTTTCCTGTGCTGTCTTTAAACAAATATAAAGAAAAGTGTAAATCAAAGGGGACTTAAGTTACAGTCTTAGGCAATGTGAATGTCAATTGCAACCATTTAAAGAGGTTATAATATGGTCAGCTCTTACTGGGTATCTTGGAGTCATTATTATATTTAGAGATACGGGAACCTGTAACTGAAGCTCTGATTCTGTTATAGAAGCCATGGGGCAAGGAAGCAGAAAATGGCCGTTGAAGTCTTTTGGATTTGGTCTGTATGTGATTCTGCCAGGGTCCAAACCTACCTTGGAGGTGAAGTTTAGGTGATGCCTTGTAACAGCCACTTCTTTTTGTTTTCATGAAAACTGAGAAAAGAGTTATTAAACAGCAATGTGCCTAACAATTTAAGACAGGAAGAATTGGGATATAATTCTGGGGATTAGAAGAGGTTAGAGACAAGAAGGAAAATAAGAGGAATCTGGATAAAATACTATAAACCTTCCCTAGATTTTTTTTTTTTTTTTAAGCTGCTTCCACATGAAGTTTAGCCACAGAGCCCACTGGGAAGCTTGGAATGGAGAGGAAATGGGAAAACGAGATTGTAACTTTTGTAGAGAGCATAAAAACCAAAAACCAAACCCACTGCCATCGAGTCATTTCTGACTCATAGTGACCCTATAGGGCAGAGTAGAACTGCCCCATAGGGTTTCCAAGGCTGTAAATCTTTACAGAAGCAGACTGCCACATCTTTCTCTTGCAGAGCAGCTGGTGAGTTCAAACAGCTGACGTTTTGGTTAGCCGCCTAGTGCTTAACCACTGCACAACCAGGGCTCTTGTAGAGAGTACAGAGAAAGTCAAATAATGAAAATGCCTAAGGTAAATTCCCTACTGTTCAATGGGCAAATTGACTACATGTTCATTATGTCAGATAATGATGATATATCTGATAGGTATCATATATATATGGAGCCCTGGTGGCAAAGTGGTTAAGAGCTCAGGTGCCAACCAAAGGTTCGTAGTTTGAATCCACCAGCTGCTCTTTGGAAACCCTATGGGGCAGTTCTACTCTCCCTATAAGGTCACTTTGAGTTAGAATCGACCCGACGGCAACAGGTTTGTGTTTTTTTTGGTTTATCATTTATATATATGTACATATATATATGTATATCTTAGGTAGTTTATATGTTTATATTGGTATCTGAGATTTAATGTAGCCTAAAAATATTTTCTTACTTTAAACTTTTTGATATTTTGTTGCTATTTAAAAAATATTTAATGTTTATCCGGAAGTGAAATTCTTAGTACAAATCTCTTTATCATGGAAGCAATTAGGCATGCAAGCCTGAGTAGACCTTTATTTTTTAAGGAAGTAAGTATAATGTCTGTGTCATCTTTGTACTATTTTTAAATTTGTCAAAGACTATTTAATAAAACCACTTTAATGCTAGCAACCTTACTTGTATCAAAGGTAAAAGCCAACATCACAGATGTTTTCAGCTTTTCCAGTTTTTCTTCCTGCCAGCTAAGGTCAGTTCATCTATTGGTGTGTCTAGAATCATACACACCTGTGGCAAGAAGTTTGGCTGATTGTTAGACTGAAGATAAATATTGGCTGATCTTTTGGGCTGTTTGGCCACAGCAGTTGTTGTGATCCTTATGTTTACAAAAACTTTAGAAGAGAATTTACTTTAAATGTTATTTAAAAATATTTAGAAGCCAGTTAGGAGCAGGGAAGGGAAATGGTTTTTATAATATGGTGATAGCTAAGCATGCAGAGTATATGCTAAAACACTTTCACAAACATTTGGCAAGAGTACACAGTGCGATTTTTAAGGCCAATAGTTGCATTGTTGAGCCTGAGTAAAACAGACATACTGGGGACATGAAGCCCTGCTCAGCCTTTTGCAGTCTTTCTCCACCCACTCAATGCCTGGCAAGATTAGAAGAAGCTTAGACTTCTGAATACCCCTCGGATTGCATTGTTATGCTACTATGATTCATAGGATGTGATATTGAAATTTTTCTGAACAGAATTTATGAAACAATTTGTAAGTGATTGTGATTTGGTAGGCCGCCACATTCCTTTTAATATTACTCATTCTGTCAGGAGCACCTTAGCGTAGACTCTGATTTGTTAGTCATGAATTATACCCACCTGCCCTCAATCCACCAACACCCCCACCTCCTGTAGAAAGAAACCTCCAGGGCTCAGAGAATGTACGTACATAAGTAGATTCGCCAGAGTGAATTCCTCTTCCATCTATTAGCCAGAAAAGAAGACTTGTTCTGATTTTTCAGAAACAGACGCAAATTTATCCAGAGCATAAGCTCCAGAGGAGGGGAGGGTTAGGAGGTGAAAAAGCGGAGCGATTTCAGGTTAAATATTTTTCCCAATAAGCAGGCATTAAGTCAGAGCTGACTCAGGCTTAGGGCTCAGGAGGTCTCATTTTACAGTAAATCCTATTTACTTCAGAAAAATCAGAGAATCTTAGGACTAGCAGGAAACTTAAAAAACTTATCCAAACAATCAAGTGATAGTGACCATACATGTGCAAATATGTATATCTCAGAATTGCCATATCTGACTACTATAATATATACTTATTTTTTTTAATCTCCTCAACTTCATCTACTGAACAGAAAGAAGATCCAAAGGCACGTTATTAAAGTAACTACCAAGTAAGAACTTTGTAGAAGAGAGAGTGCCTAATTGTTCATTCAATCAGTTATCAATTATGCTTCCCTGAAAAAGTACAAACTCTGATTGAGAGAAGGGGCAAATCTTAAGCTTTCAAAAAATATACTTCAGTTTTGACCCTGAGAGGTATTAGCAACTCCAACTGACTTAATTATCGATGGTCTGAATCAACTTCTATTGCACTGTGTTCCAGAGCTTTATTTCCAAATAGATCCTTGGGGGTGATACTGAATATAAAAATCAGCTAAAAAAAAATCCCCAACTAACCTCCAAAAATTAAACCTGAGAGTGACATAGCCCTTTCTGTGAATAAGATTAAATCTCATTTCTTCCCACGGCCCTCATGCCCCACTATATGCTTCTGGTCTCCTGCTGAGGTTCCACCGGACTTTCTCCAACATCAAATCTTGGCTGTTTCAGGTCCCATGTCCTTAATATTCCACTCTAGGAGTTTATGAACAATAGTAAATGAATTTGTTACATCTCTCTGGTTTCAAACTCAACATCTGCCTCTGAAGCCTCATAGGGAATAATGTGGGGATTTTCATGTTATTGAGTCACACAGGATGAATACCTCTAAGGCTCCACTGCTGACTGAAAGGAGGGGCCAAACCACTGGAAAAGTGGGCAGAGTGGTAAAACTCTGTTGTGTTGTCATGGATTCTGACTCATAACAACTCTATAAGACAGAGTGGAACTGCCCCATAAGGTTTCCAAGTCTGTAAATCTTTACAGAAGTAGACTGCCACATCTTCCTCTCTCAGAGCAGCTGGTGGGTTTGAACTGCCAACCTTTTGGTTAGCAGATGAGCGCTTGACCACTACACCACCAGGGCTCCTTTCTGAGTGGTTAGAGCCTCACAATACCAGCCATTTCCTGAACCATTAGCTCTGGCAATTCTTCCAGTTTTCTTCCCCTTTGTCTCCTGGTTCCCTATGCAGATTTATACAGATTTAAATGTCTTAAACTCCTGTCCAAAGACTCCTGCCAAATCTCTCATGAGTGTTCCTGGAAAGAAAGGCTTAATCTTCCTGGGACCTGCTCCTCTTTTTGGCTCAGGTTCTGGAAGTTCTGATGCCAGGTAGTCATGGGCCAAGGGTAACTTTCAGAACGTTCTGCAGCCCTGGATAGCAGAAAGGGCTTAGGCTGACCTAAAGCCTGGCCCTATCATCTGTCACCACCTGTCAACTGTGGCTTTGCCCAAGCTACCTAAACTCTAAGCCTTGGCTAACTCATCTGTAAAAGGCAGATAATATTACCTACCTCAGAGAGATATTGTAAAAATTAGAAATAAAATATTTGTCCTGTACCGTCTTCTATGTTTAGGGAATTTATGCAAGTATCAAATTAAGACCTGTTGCTAAGCTTTGTAGGAGTACCTTGATATAAGAAACAAACATGTATCCAATTCAATGTGAAAAGGAAAAGGAAAAAAATGATACTTCACTACGAATAGATATATATTTCTTTTTGCTTTATTTTTCTCTCTATGTAGAGTATAATCAACTATGTAAATGCAAACTGATGGGGTCAAGGATTTAAGGTCTCCAAGTACTTCCTTTTTTTCTGATGATCTGTTTCTCCAGGTGAATGATTTTAATCTGCAAACCCAAATTGTGGGGCTTGTCTCAGGTGCTGTCCACTCCCTCAATTAGTTGCCTCTGATATTACGTCCTGTTTGTTTCTGCTTCATCCCAAATCCTGAGCCTGAATCCTAATTTCACCCGTTATTTATGCCCTTTGACATACTAAGCTTAGCAGGGAGACTCAGACCCTTCCCCACTGACAGGTGGCTTTCGAGTCCGAACCTTGCTCAAAACATAATGCTGTTTCCACGTCACTAGCGTTTGTACCTCTTTAGGGCTCCTGATTCGCACCATCTACAACTGCTTCTTGGAGTCCCATCTTCTGACCAGGCTCCAGTATAATTCTCATATTCTTGATTTGTTGCTTGAGACAAATTCTCTTTCAGGTCTAGTGGACAGTGTTTTCTAAGGATCAGCTAAAAGTGGTTGAGAATTTTGGGGTTACCAGAATCTCATTTTGGAACGCACAGGAAGCCGAAATGGAAATAGATTCAATACATACATTGACTTACTGGAAAAATAAAGGGGGGGGATAACATTTCATTATGACTAAGCATTTGTATCTTCATTTTGATCATCTCTGGGTACGTACAAACAGCCATCCAAAGGCATGTAAAAATGAACCAATTTTTATTATTATTTTCGAAAAGCAGTAAAAACATTTATACAGGACATTATGAAATACTAATGCCATCATGAGGACCCAACTCCTGCAGGTAACCAGTGTGGAATCGAAGTGTCACCAGAGGCTGCTCCACAAACAGACAGGCAAGCAGGATGAGAATGTTCCCTTGATTACTATGATCGTCACAATAATAATAACTAAAGAAACCCTCCTTTAGCTGGATGACCCTGCATAAATAGGCAACACAGTTCATCAAAATGTAAACGTAAGATTTTCTGACACTAGCATAGCAAATACAAAACCAGTTACAACTAGAACAATTTTGAAGTTATCCCACGATAGTGATTCTTACACTTTGTTTCTTTGCTGTGTGATCCCTATGTATTTTTTCCCATTCGTCATCTTCAGTATCCTGGTCAAATGTTTCCGGGTATGCTGGTAACTTGTCTTTGGGGCATTCTTCGTAGTAACTCCGAACATATTTTCCCACAAACCACCCTTTGTATTCTTCAGGCATTTTGCACTCCAGGCCATTATAGTGGACATTGTAATGGTGCTTTAACCAGTAGTAGAGGTAGTGGATGTTGTAGTCACATCTCCAGGGGTTATCTCTGAGCCACAAAAGTTTCAAAAAATACAAATCTTCTAATACTCCATAGTCAAAGTTTTGCAAACTGTTGTTTGATAAGTCTAACTCTTCTAAATGTGTGAGCCCTGAAAAAGCAGCTATAAACAGAAAATATTTATTAAACCAATGAGTAAAGTAAGTTAAATGCAACCATATGGT